AAAAAAAAAAAAAAAAAAAAAAAAAAAAAACGCTCCAGAGAAGTGGAGCAAGGCACAGTCCTGGAGCCCGCACAGGTGTCAGTCCTCCAGAAGAGACACTCTGGTTTCGGTCAAAGTGTCTCTTTGGTGCTCCTGCTGCCCCCGGCACTGTCCATGGTGAGATAGGGAAAGGAGGGGTGGGGTTTATGGGTGCGGGTGGGTGTGGATGTGTGTGTATGAGGGTTGGCAGGGGGATGTTGGGAGTGGTGAGAGGGATGTCCCCAGGGCTGTGGGGGGTGAGTGGCCGGAGCAGCTGCAGTGAAGCTGGTGGCACATGGAGGGACCCAGCCCAGACCGGTGCGGCTCCTTAGTCTGGCTTTGCACCAGAGCGGGTTGCCTGGCTCCGGGAGGCGTGCACAGGAGCCGCGCCTCCCGGAGCCATGTGACCCGCTCCAGTCCAAAGCCAGACTAGCAAGCTGCACAGAGCTGCGCCGGGTCCCGCCGCATGCCACCTCCCCACAGGCACAGCAGGGCAGAGGCGGGATTCGGTGCCACGCGCCGAGCCCAGCCGGGTCCTGCTGCCATGGGACCGGCCTGGCTGGGTGGGAGAACGGCCCTGCAGGGGGGGGCCCTGGGTGGTAGAACGGCCCTGCAGGGGGGGGCATTTCATGTGCTGCACCCTGTGGGGGCCAGGGGACCCAGCCCTCCTGAGCAGCCCACCCACAAGGTCCCCCACACCCACAGTCCCCCCAGCAATTGCTCCATACCTTCCCCACACCCCTTCCCACCCCCTTCCTGCAAACACCATATCCCCACATCACACACCCATCATGTGTAAAGAAAACCAAAAGCACACATCAAAACATAAGTATTAAGAATTTATTTTATCATGATGATAGAGACACTGGTAGGCTTCCAAATTGCATTAACATTGTAAATATGCCAATAAAAAATTGCCCAACTAACTGATCCCTCTCTCTCTAGATATGTGTGTGCGCGCATGTGCAGAGTGGTCTTTTGTTTTAATTTAATGGAAGAACATGGATTTGGGGGTATTTTTAAAAATGGATTTGGGATGCTGCTGCAGCAGTACAGCTGGAACAAGGGGTAGTGTCCCCAGAAACCAACTGGCCGGGCCCCAGGAGCTGCCGAGAGTGAGTAGCCCTGAGCTGCTCGCCAGAGCAGCTTTTTGTACTGATGAGGCCAGGACAGGGCAGCTTTTCATACTGCTGGGAGCAGCACAGGTGCTGGCCTTGGGCTCTAATACCGCTGGCAGCAGATCCAGGGAGGAGCCAGGCAGGGTTATTTTGCCCCAAGTGGCACAATTTGCCCCACAACAAAGTGCATGCCTGAGCACGTGCGCTCAGGCAAAAAGCCCCGGCTCAAACTTGCACTGCTTTTATTTGAGCTGCTGCAAGCACACGTGCTTGCATGTGTGGACGTGCCCAAAGACTGCAAAGCACATTACCCCTGCAGAGACCTCACAAATCTAACATACTCTTGTTAATATGTTCCAGAGAGATGTGAATACATCTTCAGTTTCTGATCCATTAGAAAGCCTCAAGCCCAGGAACATTTCTGAAGTATCAAAACCTAGTTAGCCATTCCCCACTTTTGTATTTGGGCATTTGATTTTTACTTCCTACATGTAGCATTTGCTTGTGTCTATTGAATTTTGCCTCGTTGAGTTCAGGAATTTCCCCCATTTATCAAACTCACTTCAACTTCTGATCTTATTCCCTTCAGAGCACTTGCAACGCAGTTCAGCTTGGTGCCATCCACAAATTTTGTAACTATACTCCTATGTCTATCATCCGAGTCATTTATATTGTATATAACTGGGTCTTGGACAGACCCAATTTAATTGAAATGGGCTAAGGGTACTTTGTGCTATCTAAGACCTGCTCCTATACATGCACAATACCTTATTGAAATGGCAAGACTTGAGATGATAATGCTTCTACCTAGGGAAGCTAATATGTGTTTGCAGTTCATTCACTAATGTCATTGGGAGCTGTCTTCTGTGGAGCACAATGAAATAGAAATTTCTATCTAGCTGAAAGAGGCAACTCACCATAAAAGGGCTTAATGAGTTCTAATCAGAAAAAGCTTAAACTAATACATGAAGGATATGAAGTGCTCAAAAATGTAAGTAAGTATGTACATATTAGATAGTCACAGAAAAGATGGTATTTGTTCCACCTTTATGTTGTTTAAAGAATGTTCACACTTCCCTTTTAAAATCTGTTTACCAAGAAAAGCCTATTAAGATAGGCATTTTCACTTGAAAAAATGCCTCAGGGCAAAATAAATTTGGTTATAACAGAGTACAACACAGATTATAGAAACAACATCAGAAAAATGTATATGGTTCTCTGCAATTACATACAGTATTTAAGACTGAACAATTTTCTTGCATCTCTTTTAAAACCATTCATTATACCAGGCAACTTTAATTGCTTGGGTAATTCATTGCACGTATATGGATCCAGCTTCATCACATGCACAAGTTATTTCCCCTGTTCCTAATTCCATTTTGAGCATGCTTAGCAAAGAAATCTTTAAATGTAACCAATAGAGGACATGTTGCATTGTGACACTTTGTTATCTATATGTTTGTTAATTTACAAGAGTAGTGCTAATTTTTACTAGCTCTATATATTGGTAAAAACTGGTCAGGACCCTTGAGATTAGCCCTCTTCTGTATTGTAATACAAACAGTCTGGAGCTGATGGCCAGCTTAATTAGCTACATGTTGTAATGCTTAGCTATGTCTACCTCGTGCTGTACTTTGTGCAGAATAATAAATGCCACGCCTTTCTCAATCTGAGTTAATAACTTGATTCTTATTATCAAAATGTAAACTTTCTGACAAAGTTTAAAATTGAGCTTGCTAAATTACATGCCTCAAATTCAGTTAATTTGACACCACTGCTTACCCAAACATACACACACCTGACAACTAAACCTAAATCTTCTTAACCAGGATGAATAGGGGAAAAAAAGTAAAAAAAATGAAGATAAGCATTTCACCCATAAGTCAGTAAAATCTGCTTCCGAAGAGTGGAAGTATAAGGAATCCACCTCAGGTGTTTGCAGATGGATTTACCTTCTTACTCACCCCAGAGAACTCTGGCATGATGTAGGGAAGCCACTTAGGTTCCTCATTCATACCTCACAGGAGTGCCATGGGGAGAAGTTCATTAAAGGTTGTGACTGCAAGACTACAAGAGCAGGATGAAAGAGGAGTAGATACATAAGGGAGGAAGGAGAAGAAGGAAAAGGTGACCAAAGAGAGACCTTTGGTATCACAATTACCACTACGGGGACATTGACAAAAAAGGACATAACAAATTATGGGAAGCTTTTAAAACCCAGCTAGACAAAGCCTTGTGCTGGGATGATCTAGTTGGGGATGGTCCTGCTTTAAGTAGGGGGTTGGACTAGATCAGCGTTTCTCAACCTGTGGGTCACACCCCAAAAGTGGGTAGCAAGACTATATGAAAGGGTTGCGAACAAACTTTAAAAATGAATCAAGAGACTTTAAAAATGGATTCTCCTTTAAAGGAGAAAAACACAGGAAACCGTGGCTTTTCCCCTGCAAGATGTCAGAGTTCCAGCTTACAAGGGGCTGCTTGGGCATACTGCCCTGCTCCACACACCCACCCCCTGGGGTCAAAAGGCAGCAGGTCAGGACTGACCACTGATTTTTACAAATGGGTCCTGGTCGAAAAAAGATGGAGAACCACTGGACTAGATGAGCTCCTGAGGTCCCGTCCAACCCTACTTTCCTAAGTGTCTGTGATTCAGTGATTATTTCAGGACTTACAAAAAAGCACTGCTTTCTCAGAAAGCTGGAAGGACAAACTCTCAAGTCCAATACCATCACATGTAAGAGACAGAAGTCAAGAACTTGAGAGAGGCCAGCATAAACCAGGCAACGTGATGGTTTATGGAATTCAGCGTTAAATTAAGTGCAAATCAATGTACTGGGAGGAATATTTTTTTACACTTGTATACCTTACAGGGTTCTAAAGCAAATTTGTTTAAAAAAAAAAAAAAAAAAAAAAAAAAAA